TTTTCCTTGATATAGCCAGCATCATCCAACCTTTTCCTTGATATAGCCAGCATCACCCAACCTTTTCCTTGATATAGCCAGCATCATCCAACCTTTTCCTTGATATAGCCAGCATCATCCAACCTTTTCCTTGATATAGCGCAGAAACGTTTCAAACTTGCGGAAGTTGGCTATGGTGACCAGGTGCGGACATTTGTCCCCCTTCACCTCCAGACAATCCTCAAACAGGCCCGCGTTCCTCGTCCACGGGTTACTCTTCCGGTCAAACTTGACGTCACCCAGAAGTTTGGGCACCATGCCGTACATAAACACGTCGTCGATCCAGAAAAACTGGAGCTGTTTTGCCGCCGCGTGCATTCTGGGGATGAGACCGGGGCTGAGGGCGGCGAAGTAGCCCAGGCAGTGATGGAACCTGTACCTTGTGGCGTTTATCTCTGCCTGGGACACCCTCCAGCGGCCCGCGCGGCGTACCGGGTCGTTGTAGACAGCCTCACACATGATGGTGCTGCTCTCCCCGGAGTGCTTGGACTCCCACAGCTCGATCAGCTTCTGCACGTGCACGAACGTGTCGTCATCGAGTCGGAGCAGCAGCTTCAGACCTGGGGGGGGGGGGGGGGGAGGAGGAGGAGAGGTCAAGGTCAACTAGTTTGAGTTTGAGGGGTTTTTTTTAGCTAATACGACAAGAGTTTTACGGCACTGGCAATACAATAAGGTCATCATATAAGTGCCGAAGAATAGAGGTGTTACAAGAGAGTAACAAACGCAAAAAAGAAGGAGAGATCAGGACGATAGATGTTTGATAGGAAAGAAGGAGCAAACCGAACTCGAGGACACAGTTAGAAATTAAGCTTACATTTTGTAAATTGACCCCAGAAGGATAATTTGGTTTACTATGGCAAACGTTCCAAATAATAATAATAACAATAATAGATGACATTTGTATAGCGCAAATCCCCGCTCAACAGCAAGCTCTGTGCGCTTCACAATCTATACTATTACCCCAGCAGACCTGAGAGCATTTTGAAACAACCTCAACTTCCTGTGGACAGATCAAGAACAGCTCATTTAAATTTAGTTTTAGTTTAGTAAGAGTAAGAGTTTTACGCCATTTGCAACACAATGAGGTCATTATAAGTGCCGAAGAATAGATGTGTTACAAGAGAGTAACAGACACCAAAGAGAAGGAGGTTTTATGTGGCTTTTCGTATTCTGATATTTTTTCTCGAATTTTGGCATGGAAAGTATGTCTATCTCTATCTGTCTATCTATCTATCTATCTATCTATCTATCTATCTATCTATCTATCTACCTATCTATCTATCTATCTATCTATC